ATTTTCTTTTTTAATTTTTTTAATTTTATGTATCTCCTTCTCCTCTCTATTAATTGATCTTCGATAATTTGAAGGTGAGTTGTTGCTCTCATTTCCATCTTCTTCTTTTTCTTTTTAAAATTTTTATTTACATTTATAGAATGAATTTTCTTATTTCAATATCTCCTGCAATTGTTTTATTGGATTCTCTCTGATTTGATGGTAACCTTAGATTGAATTTCTCAATTTTCATCTTAACTAGTGATCACCTTAATTGAAATTTTGTACAGTTTTGTCTTCAATTTCTGTGACAACCACCTCCTTAATTAAGTAAATTAATTAAATTGATCATATGTCTATTGTTAATTATGTAATTATGTGCTATGTGAATTATGTGCCGTATGATATAATTATATATATATATATATATATACTTGCATTGATTGATATGGTAGTGTTATTGTGAACAGATACGTAAAGGAATGAATTTAACCTGTCTGATTCGCTAATTTTTACGAGTTAGAATTAAATAATAAGATAGGAAATTAGAGCCTAATCCATCTTAGAATAATTTAATTTAGTGCAATTAAAGATAATGAAATGGTGAGATTAATTTAATTAATGTCAAATTGATTTTTAATTAATTTCTTAGTCTAAGGTGATACACTTAATTTATTAGTCTAATTTAATTAATTTAAGCCCAAGGTCTTTATTCATACTCACCAAGTAGATTAAATGGAATAAGTTAAAAAGAAGAGGTGTAGTGGGTCTTTTATTCCTTGATGCATACACGTAGAGAGAGAGGGATAGAGATTGTGAGAGTTCAACAAGAGTGAGAAGGGGCAGAGAAGAGCTTAGATAGAAGTAAAGTCTTGCCTTGGATCCTCCATAACCATCAAAGCAAGGTAAGGTTTTCTTTCCAATTTCTTGAGGTAGAGTCTTGTTTACCTATCATCTTTTAAGATTGAAGTGTAAATTAGCATTGTTGGTGAAGAATTAAAAACTTTGGCTCATATAATGAAGAATCGATACATGCATGGCTTATAATGAACAAATGAGAGATGTAATTTAAGATAGCTTCGTGCATGGCATAATTCTTGAATTGCATGCTTATTTTCTTGTTGTTTTGTTTGAGTTTTGTTTTTAGGAGGAAATCCATGAAAATTAAGGGAAGAAGCTCCATGCATTCACAAGTTAGAACTCAAGTTGTTTAATGAATAATTTTGTATTAAGGGTTGAGAATTTAAATTTGTTTAAATGGATTTGAATTGTGAATTGAAACCATGAATTGTATTTTGAATCAAATATGTTCTTTTTAAAGTGTTGAGTCAAGTTTTAAGAGCTTATGGCATGAAAATAAACTTGGTTTTTGCAAGGTTTTGCACTGCCCAACAGAGTAGATTTCGGGCACCAATTCAGCCCAGACTGCTCGAGCAAATTGGGCCCCCGCACGAGCGGCCCAGCTTCAATAACCCAATGATGCACACTATTTACCGCCGCTCGTGCGGCCAATCCACTGCACGAGCGGCCAAGGCAACCGCACGTGCGGCCAACATGGCAGTTCCAGTTTTGTTCTTTGCTTCAGTTTTTCCTTTTCCGAGCCTTCGTTTGCATAGTTTTTTAAGGTTTTCATGGTCATTTATATCTCATGTGTGCATTAGAATGCATGAATGAAGTTAGAATCAAACTGGTGAACAATAAATAGAGATTAACGGAATAATAACCAAGCGAATATAAATAGAAGTGATTGAATCCAAAATGGGTGAAATTGAACTGTTGTGCTTAATTTTGTTTGTTAGGTCAGACGCCATAGCTTAGTGTCGTATCGTTTGCGTATCAAGGAGCCCACTGTGAGTAACAATATTGTAAAAATATGTTCAATCGTATTTATTTTCAGATTAATAAATTATATTGCTTTCTTAAATGATACTTTTATCGATTGAATGATGATCCTATTTTGAACTGTATTCGTGGCATCCATAGCATATTGTCATTGTTATTGTTATTGACATCATTATTGTTACAGAGATCTCTGTCAGTTCCAAATCTTGGAACTATTGTTATTGTATGATGGCCATCAATTGATTGTTCGGTCTTTTAAGACCTAGTGTATTGTTTGTATGGGATGTACCACGTATGACCTATATGAATATGATGTATCAAAATGATTGAATTGAATGATTGATTGACGTATGACATTGATTGAAACGTTCTAATACTAATCGATTGTTTCAAAAATTGAAGGACATCATTCTTAAACTCTTTACACATTTGTTATTCACTAGGCTATAACTCACAGTTTATTATATATATGTAGGTGGCCAAGCACCGGACCAAAACTAGAGGCGCCAACCCAAGCTCATGTTTTGTCAAGCCAGCCATCGTGCCTCATATTGAGGTTCCGAACCTGCACGAGTCAAGGCTTTTTGGGTGATACTATCCACCCTTTTGCTAAGTGTTAAGAATGTCTAAGATTTTTGATTGTACAATTTTTGATGATGGGGTTATGTCCTTATCTTGTATTTCCATTTTCTATTATAAGTGGTTGTGAATATGACTATGTGCATGAAAGTTTATTTCCATTCAGGTCTTCACAGCTCATTGGACGATGTATATTATTATTGATTGACTTCCGCCAGCCCCTTTATATTGCATTATTGTCATTATTGATATGCAGGCCTTCGGTAATCACGGATTACTGGCCGGTTACGACGTTAAACCTATAGGGGCGGGTTTGGGTCGGGACAATTTCCATGTTTTGGTTATGATTAATTGCGCATTTTTGATCAATAGTTACAATCTTATCGCCGCTAAATTGCCGTTGTTGTAATGAGAGGATGAGAGAGTGAGAATTAGAACTCTAATTGTAAACAAAGTAGTGAAAACTAGGGATGACAATGGATAAATTACCCTGTGTGTATCTATGGAAACCCAACCCAACCCAAATATATGGGTTTTCTCCTTTTTTCTTGTTCGTCGGGTAGGGTAAGTGATGTTCTTTAAATCTCCACCGAATATGGATACCCATTAATTTCCCCATATTTTTTATTTTTTTTAGGCACATCGGAAAATAATTTCTCCATATGTTTTCACTACTCTATTTACATAATTCTCACTCTCCCTCATTGTCTCACTACAGCAACAGCGATTTGCAATGGCGACAATCTAGCAGAGACAAGATTGTGACTATCGATCAAAAACGCGCAATTAATCATAACCAAAACATGAAATTTGAAGACAAAAATGTACAAAATTTTAATTAAGGTAATTACTAATTAAGATGAAAATAGAGAAATTTAATCTAAGGTTACCATCAAATCAGAGAAAAACCCAAATAAAACAATTGCAGGAGATATTGAAACAAGAAAATTCATTCCATAAATGCAAATGAAAATTAAAAAAGAAGAAGAAGAAGATGGAAACGAGAGTAAAACTCACCTTTAGATTATCGAAGATCAATTAATAAAGAGGAGAATGAGATACATAAAATTAAAAAATTAAAAAAGAAGATGAAATTTTTTTGTAAGAATATAATTTTTCTAAATAAATTTGAATAATTCTAAATATACATAAAATTTGACAAGAATAATGTGACAATGTTAATTAATGTGTATTTGATTTTGTTGTTGATCTAAATAAAATAAAATAAGATTGAATGTATATTTAGCTTTGGTTGTGAATCTTTAAAAAAAATGGAGAGGTCAAGTTAGGTTGGAGAAAATCCAAACCTATTAGGAGATGGGGAGGATAGTATGGGAATGGGGAATGAGGAAAAATAATTATAAGGGAATGGGGACGGGAATTAATATCCACCCCATTAATCCCCATTGCCATCCCTAGTGAAAACATATGAAGAAATTATTTTCTGATGTACCTTAAAAAAAAATATGGAGAAATTAGTAGGTACCCATCCCCACCCCATCCCTAGTGGAGATTTAAACAATATCACTTATCCTATCCAACGGACAAGAAAAAAGGGAAAAATTTATGTATTTGGGTTGGATCTCCATAGATATTCACAGGATAGATTATCCATTGTCATCTCTACCAACAATAAGCCTTTGACATTTCCGTATTTTAATATTTTTATCACATTACGATTAAAAATATATTAAGACAAAAGGTAAACATTTTAATTTTTTCAAAGTGTACATTTAAATTGTGTTTTTAAATGAATGAGACTCCTTCTCCAGGTGTACTTATTGGAGCTTCACTACAAGTTTTATTTTGACTATTCATTTAACTCATCTTTTTAATTTTTATGTGTAGATTATTTAGAAAAATTACTTTGTTTGATTCTATTTTTCTAAAAATACTTTTCAGAAAATTATACTTTATTGTTTTTCGTATTATTTTTATTTTTATTGAATTTTAAAAATATTTTAAGTAATTTTTTTTTACCTTTTAGACATACCTAACATAAATATAACTAAAAAGTAAAAAAATTTGTGAAAAAAATCTTTTCAAAATTCACTAAATATCAAAAATATAAAAAAATACGAGAATTCAATACATTTTTTATATTTTTATGTATTTATTAATTTTTAAAAATATTTTTTTATAAATTTTTTACTTTTTTGATACATCTAAATAGGGTGCATCTAAAAAAGTAAAAAAAAATATTCAAAATTTAAAAAATATTCACTAAAAACAAAAAAAATAACACGAAAGCCCAAAAACTCAATTTTTAAAAAATTTAATCCAAAAAAATTCAAATCAAACACACTGATTGTATTGATATGATAATAATAATGATATGATATTAATATATTTATCTTAAATAAATGGGGAAATTGGTTTAGGGTCCTTCCTCCACTTTTCGTAATGGAAGAGATCCACAAAATTATTTTTTGATGTCTAAGGTCCCTAAACATATATCAGATAAATTTGTCGTTGAGGGACCTTAGACATTATGAAAATATTTGATGTCCTTTATGCTATAAAATCATAATACCAGGGACCTTAAAAAAAAAACCCCTAAATAAATATACATAAAGACTATTTTAATGGTTTGTTATAGCGGTAAGACCCTAGTCCAATTGAACTAGAAAGAGTCCAATCTTGATGAGTGAAGAGAAGCTCGACCCTTTCCAAAATAAAGGATAAATTGCAAGTAACCCAAAGAAAATGTGAAGACACGAGGAGTACGGACTGATGCAAAATGCAAAGATATAAATAGGAAGTTGGTTTCTTTGGCCTTTCTTTGTCCCTCTCTACCTCCATCCATACATCCACAGCCCCATAATATCTCTCTCTCGCTCTCTCTCTCTGTATATATATATTTGTATGTCTTAGAGATCAGTGAATCCCATTTTTAATTTTTTAGACCATTGTAGAGGATGAGATAATTAGTACTCTCCCTTGATAGGAAACCATTTCACATTAAATATATCATTCCATGTATAACCCTCATTGAAACTAAAACACCCCCTTTAAAAGAGAAAAAAAAAAAAAAAAAACTCAAGATCAAGCCTCTTTTGCCCATTTTCTCACCTGGGTATCTCTCAGACCTGCAAGAAATTCAACAAAAACAGTAAAACACCACTCTCCAATGGTTTCCTTTGGCCAATTGAGCAAATGGGTACTGATTTCTTTGATTTTTCTTCAATTCGTTGATGGGTTCTATCTTCCTGGTAGTTTTCCCCACAAATACAATGTGGGTGATCAACTATCTGTCAAAGTGAATTCATTGTCATCAATTGAAACTGAAATCCCCTATGCATACTATAGCATGCCATACTGTAAGCCTTTGGAGGGTATCAAAGACAGTGCAGAGAACCTTGGAGAGCTTCTAATGGGAGACAGAATCGAAAACTCTCCGTTTCGGTTCAAGATGTATAGCAATGAGAGTGAGATCATGTTGTGCAATTCGCATCCTTTATCAGCTGATGAATTCAAGGTTTTGAAAGAAAGGATTGATGAATTGTATCAGGTTAATGTGAATCTTGATAACCTGCCAGCTATTCGATATATGAAGAAAGAGAGTTTTTTTCTCCGTTGGACCGGTTATCCAATTGGGATCAAGGTTGAAGATATCTATTATGTGTTCAACCATTTGAAATTCAAAGTTTTGGTTCACAAGTGTGAGGAGACCAGCATGGCTGGTGTCATTGGGGTCGGTGATGGGGCTGAATTGATCTTCACAGGGGAGAATTCAACTAGTGATTCAAAAGGTTACATGGTTGTCGGGTTTGAAGTTGTTCCTTGCAGCTATCAACACAAACCTGAGTCAGTCAAGAACCTTAAAATGTATGATAAGTACCCTTCTCCAATCCAATGTGACCCGGTCACAGTGGCAATGCCAATCAAGGAAGGCCAGACTATAACATTCAGCTATGAGGTCTCTTTTGTGGAGAGTGATATCAAATGGTCTTTGAGATGGGATGCTTATTTGAAAATGGAAGGTTCTAGAGTTCACTGGTTTTCGATTCTCAATTCTCTAATGGTTATCATTTTTCTCGCGGGGATAGTTCTTGTGATCTTCTTCAGGACAATCCGGCGTGACTTGGCTCATTATGAAGAGCTTGACAGGGAGACCTTAGCTCAGATGAATGAGGAATTATCGGGATGGAAGCTTGTGATTGGTGATGTTTTTCGTGCTCCAACCAATCCGGAGTTTCTCTGCATAATGGTTGGAGATGGATTTCGGATTCTCGGAATGGCATTTGAGACGATTTTCTTTGCTGCACTTGGATTCATGTCCCCAGCTTCTCGTGGCGCCCTTCTTTCAGGCATGCTTTTCTTCTACACCATGTTTGGTGTCATGGCTGGTTACATTGCTGTTTGGCTTCTGAGGACAATCACAAGTGGTGATTCCAATAATTGGTTTTCTATTGCTTGGAGAGTCTCATATTTCTTTCCTGGAGTTGCTTTTCTCATACTAACAACTCTGAATTTCCTACTGTGGGGAAGTCACAGCACTGGGGCAATCCCATTCACTACATTTCTAATCCTGCTTTTACTCTGGTTTGGCATATCAGTCCCCCTCACCCTCATCGGTGGATTTGTGGCGAGTAAAGCCCCTTATCTCTCATACCCAATTCGAACCAATCAAATTCCTCGTGAAATCCCTTCTCAAAGATTCCCCTCTTGGGTTTTGGTCCTTGGAGCCGGGACTCTACCATTTGGAACCCTTTTCATCGAGCTCTTCTTCATCATGTCAAGCATATGGCTTGGTCGTGCTTACTATGTTTTCGGGTTCCTCTTTGTTGTTTTGATCCTTTTGGCGGTGGTTTGCGCCGAGGTGTCTCTAGTCATTACTTATATGCACCTTTGTGTCGAAGATTGGAGGTGGTGGTGGAAGTCTTTCTTTGCATCTGGTTCAGTTGCTCTCTACATCTTCTTGTACTCTATTAACTATCTAGTGTTCGATCTCAAAAGCCTCAGCGGGACAGTTTCTGCAATTCTATACATGGGTTATTCTCTGTTCATAGCTATAGCAATCATGCTCGCAACAGGCGCTGTTGGATTCCTCTCTTCTTTCTTGTTCGTTCATCGCCTTTTTTCTTCAGTAAAGATAGATTGAAGGCTTAGGCACAACAGGAAGCTCTCGTTCCATATCAGTAATGATCATCTATAGAGAAGTGAATATCACAATTCTAGCAAATGTATTGTTAGCTAAATTTGTTCGGTATCTATATTTTTCTCGGGCGCTTGATAGAGGTAGTAGTCCATCAAATTTTGGTTATTAGAGTATTTAATTGATGTTAGATGTTTTTGTTTGGCTTTTTGCTTAATAGTAGCCATGAGAATACAAAGAGACATCTCTTGTATGCTCATATTCTAGTTCTTGATTGAAAGCAGCTCTACCTGAATGTTAGTAGACAAAAATGGGGAGGTCTCAATTTGGATTGCTTGTTTCCAGGGAAAACAGCAATTGAGAAAATGACTCTATGACTGGACTGGAATATGGTGTTAGCCCAATTGTTTTCTGTCTTCCTTTTTCGTGTTTTCAGAAACAAAAACTTTGAAAAATACATAAACACCCATTTTTTCATATTGCTTACATATTTTTTTGTGCAAGAATGGTTTTCTTAGACTTCAAAAGCAACTTTTCTTGCCAAACAAAATTTTCAGGGAAATGAAAACAAAAACCAGACATGAGCACGGATAGACAAATGGAGAAGCCAAAATAACCTTCAACTAGGGATTCTGATCAATGAAAACCTTTTGCATAGAGGAAAACTCAATTGAGCTCACAAGAAGCATCCCTTTCCTTCCATATGTGTGCTTTCAATCTTTGAGACTACTTGAGACATGGAGTTTCAAAAGCATTGAACACATAAATTCACAAACTCCATAATCCACAACCCACATAACCCAATTATCCAATCAAATGAATCATCATCACCATTCACCAGAAATGCCCAAAAAATACTTATATTGTATGTATATATAAATTAGGAGTGGTTACATAAGGATTCAAACAGATCAATCACATTTCAGACAATACATTACCTACCAATCTAGTTTAACCTAAACATCAAACCTTCAACAAACAAAAAATAAAAATTAGCACTAAGCTCTAACCATTTACCCAATAGCCCTATCCTATACTATACACGGATAAATTAAACAACCCAAACAGATCACATATTGAAGAGAAAAGTTCACTACTTGGCACAAAGCACCTAATTGAAGAGAAAAGTTAAGAGCTTGGTTTTTCCAATCTGAGATTTCCCGTTGAAAAAATAAGGGAAAGATGACCAATTGGAGCAACCAAACAAAACAAACTCATCAGAAACATCACAAACCCATCATCATCATCATCATCATCATCATCATCACTGTGATTTGATCAAATTCACAGCAAGTCAAGCCCCAGAAGTCGCCGTAGATCAGTCGTAGCATTTCTATTGTTGGTACCCAAAACACTTTTCTTAGTGAAGAAAGCAGGGAGAGGCAGAGAACTCGGCGATGGAGACGAAATACAAGCAGACCCAGCATAGAAATCGCCGATCCTCTTCTGTTTCGGCACCACCAAATTTATGGCCTTGTTCTCATCTACTTGATTCTTCATCGCCGTCGTCAATTCTTCGCCGCGTTTCAGGATCTTCACCTGTCCCATGACTGGTTTTTTTGCGGGAAAATTGTTGCTGTTTTTGTTGTTGTTGTTGTTCTTCTCGGGGCTTCGTTTTCTGCGATTCGAAGTCTTATTGGAATTGGTATTGGGTTTTCGGCGAGGAAGGTGATCTCTGAGGCAATCCTGAGGATGAAGAACTGCTAGTTCTACCATGGTAGAGAGAGAAATGAGATTTTGAGAGAGAGAAAGAAAGAGAGAGAGAGAGAGAGAGGACAAAACAATCAGAATAGAGAGAAGGATAACTTAAAGAGAGAGGGAGATAGATAACAGAAGAAGAGTCTAGAGAGAGAATCACAGCTGATATTTTGGAGAGAGACAAATGGAGGACGGTGTTTATATAGGAAATGAACCAAGAGAGAGAGTAATATTTTTTATTTTTTTTTAATTTTTAATTTGTTTTTGGGTTTGGTATTGCCAAACTATCAAATTGTGTTTGCAATGACACCCAAAGTCTTGTTTGGGAGGTTGTAAAACTACCTATAAAAAGTCTGTTTACAACTCTTTCGGTGTGGTGACTTTCCCATTTTTGTGCCATGCCAAATGGGTTTTAAAGGGAAAGTTTATTAGGGTAGGTTTAGGTACGACTCTTTCTTTCTCTCTTTTTTAAAGGGAAAGTTTATTAGGGTAGGTTTAGGTACGACTCTTTCTTTCTCTCTTTTTTATTTTTTTATCATTACTATTATTTTTTGGGGTTAAAGTTTTGCTAAAACCCATACGTTGGCATGTTGTTAAAATAGGCATTGGTAGGTTTGGTATTGCCAAACTATCAAATTGTGTTTGCAATGACACCCAAAGTCTTGTTTGGGAGGTTGTAAAACTACCTATAAAAAGTCTGTTTACAACTCTTTCGGTGTGGTGACTTTCCCATTTTTGTGCCATGCCAAATGGGTTTTAAAGGGAAAGTTTATTAGGGTAGGTTTAGGTACGACTCTTTCTTTCTCTCTTTTTTTATTTTTTTATTATTACTATTATTTTTTGGGGTTAAAGTTTTGCTAAAACCATACGTTGGCATGTTGTTAAAATAGGCATTGGTAGGGGAAAGTTGATTTTAATTGATTTTTTAATTATTTTAATTTAATTAAAAAAATTGTGTTTAAACATTTTTTTTATAGGTAATTTGATGATTGTGAAAGAAAAAAAATGAAATGATTATGAATTAAATGTAATATTTTGTCTTCGTGAGGCATGCCAAAAAGTTTGATTTTTTGGCTATTTTAGTCAAAAAAAACAAAAAAACAATATAGATTACAAAGCCAATAAGATAAAATGTTACATTCAAATCATAATCATTTCATTTTTTTTCTCACAAAATTCAAAAAAATTAAAAAAACCTATTTCAAACAAGACTTTTTAGCTTAAGATTAAAATAGTCAAAAAATTAAAAAGTCAATCCATATCCCAAACGAACCATTTGTTTTATTTATTTTTTTAGTTTATTTTGTCTTTTAGTATATTATTTTAACTCAATCTTCTTCCCAAACACCCTATATAATAATGACATAATAATTATGCTTTCATTTGGGATGTGAGTTGACTTTTTAATTTTTTTAGTTATTTTAACCTGAGGCTAAAAAGTCTCATTTGTGATAAATTTTTTGACTTTTTTGACTTTTGTGAAAGAAAAAATGAAACGAATATAATTTGAATGCGACATTTTGTCTTATTGAGTTAAAAAACATATTTTATCTTTTTGTAATTAAAATAGTCTTAACCCAACCTAAACTTTCATGCCAAACATAGCCTATAAAAACTTTGTAATTATATATATATATATATATATATATATCATTACATCTTAAATTTCATGAACCAAATTCATGAAAAACAAAATTTAGAATATAATAGGTTGTCAGGTCATTTCCAACTTAATCCATTATTTTATTAAATTTAAGTAAAAATTTTATTTGATATCGCGCGTTCTAACGGAAGTTTTTGATCTTCCATCAAATTACCGGTCGGTCAGGCGGATGTCCGAATGGTTGACTAGTCAGTGTAAATTGTCTAGGATAAATTGCAAAAAAGTGAATGTCCAGGGGGCAACCGGCTTGTCATTTAGTGCTCCTACACTAACGGTTATTTATAATAATTTGATGAAAAGTTACACTCATTCTCAATTTGATAAAAAGTTTTAACTATTCTCAATTTGATATCAAACTGATAACAACATTGGAACAGGATTCTAATCAATTTTTCATCAAATTTAAAGAAAATGTGAAACGTTGAAGATGGTCTTATGAATCAAACAATATCTCTAATCTTTCATCTCTTTTTTTACCTTAAATTTGCCTTATAATTTAGATCAAGACTTCATTGATATAGCTCACCTCAATGGTGAAAATAAAATTTTTCTATCAAATATTTTTAATATTTGACATATATATATTTTTTTAATAACTCGATATCCGACTCATTAGACTGATTAATTCACAGAACTAATATCACTGTCGATAATCCTAGAGTACGGTCACGTAGTGTTCTATGATAATGTGATTGATAAAAAATATAAATTATTGATTATTTAGGTTGAGTAATTGAGGAATGTAAAGGACGTCATAAATGATAATTATTGAGAAAGTATGACTACGTAGTATTTCGAGACTATTAATATAATTTTCTGTGAAAAGACTAAAGTGAAAAAAAAGTGAACTTCAATAAATTAAAAAAAAAAAAAGAAAAGAACAGAGATCTTGGATTACAAATCAAGTTATCAAGTAATAATTATTTGGTGTTTTTTTTCAACTTTTCCCAATTTGTTTGATTTGCTTCTTTTTTTTAGTTGTCAAATATATATTTTTAATATTTTGATAAAATTGAGAAAATAAAAATAAGAAAGGAGGGAAAATGTAATAAAAGGAACCTCAGATGAGAGGAGAGTGAGATATATATTCGAATTGTGATGTGGTGAAGGACAGCTGGAGGACTATAGTAGTATTGTTGGGACTTTATCTTCAAGAAACACGTCAAATACGGAGTGGTGGGATGACTTTTTTAGGGTCATGGCATGGGTAAGGAAGGACGCGTGTATCCAAAAAAACAAAAGGGAAGGACGTGTCACGTGTGTGTAAGCCACGACACGACACGACACGACTCGTTCCACCGACCAACTTCACTCTCGTTGGTGCCGAGCCGACTATGACTCCCCCACCTCCTCCACCTTTCTCTCTCCTCTACAATCTATGGGCTGCTTTTTAAAATTGAAAATTTTGGCAAAATCTCTTTCATTTGAGTCCTTTTTTATGATATGAAAATGATCGTTCATAATTTTTTGTTTCATAAGATGAGACTCTCACATTTAAATTTAATGAAATACACAAAAATATTTTTCTATATGTTTTCAGACAACATTGCCCTTCTCTCTCTCTTCTTCCATATATCACTATCAAAGATGAAACCATCTCTTTAATGTAAGCATTCGTTTGGTAGGTTTTGAGATTAAGGAATATGTTTTTTTAGTAATTTTTAAATTTTTTAATTAAAATATGATGTAAAAAAAAATTAATATTTTTGTGATGATTTTTCAATTTTCTATGAAAAGAAGTGTAAAAAGTAGAGAGAAAATAAAATCTTTAATTTTTTGGTATAGGTTATTAGTTTTTTGATTTTTTTAATAACTTTTTGATTTTAGTTATAAAATGATAAAAATAAATTAAAAAATTAATAAGACAAAATATCACATTGAAATCATAATCATTTTATTTTTTTCTCACAAAAGTTAGAAAATCTATCACAAATAAGACTTTTTAGTCCAAGACTAAAATAATCAAAAAATTAAAAAGTCAACCTACATCCAAAACAAACCCTGAGTACACAGACTTCAAGGCCCCTCTCTCTCTTGTACTCGCTGGACAAGCTCACTTCATCTTCTCCGTTCGTCGGTAATGCATATAGAAAGAACTCATCGAAGTTCTGATTTTCTCTCTCTCTCTCTCTCTTCTTATTTTCGGGATCCTTGATTTTTATTCAATTTGTATGTAGTTTCTCTCTCTCCGGTGCTTGCAATTTTGGCTCGATCAATTGTTTGTTGAGTGTTTGATTGCTTCTAAGTCTCGAAATTTTTGATTGGATTGTGTTCAGATTGTGTTAGTGGGTCAATCGTTCGAATAATATAGATACATATATGTATATATATATATATATATATATATATATACATAATCAGAGACAAATTTGAGTAATGCCTTATTCAAAAAGACAGTAAAACTCTTCCCAAACCAAGCCTTTTAGCCCCAGGCTAAAATAACAAAAAATGCCAAATAGCAAAAAGGCAAAAAGCCAACTCATTTCCCAAGCAAAACCTTAGTATGCCTTTTCACTTTTATGAAAAAACATAAAATATGAGTTGGGTTTAAAGTGATGTGGTAGAGAAGTGATGTGACCCAAATAAGATGATTGTAATCTAAATAAGATAATGTGCTAAAATAGCACGTGCTATTTTAGCACAGGCCAAACAAGCACTTTGTCCTATTGACTTCTTAGCTTATTTTATCTTTTGTGACTATTTTAACCTAGTAACCTCCCCAACTGAGATGCCAAACGAGGGCTAAATTAGTTACTAAGGATATTTTGGTAATAGTGGCATTTGCTGAATTTTTCAGGAAAAACTTTTTAAGCTTGTCCTTAATGCATTAAAATTTAAGGTGTCATTTGGGATGTTGGCTAATTTAGCTTTTTGGCTAAATACAAAAAGATAACAAAAAAGACAAAATAGACTAAAAGGTTAATAAGATAAAATGTCACATCAAAATCATAATTATTTTACTTTTTCTCTTACAAAAGTCAAAAAATCCAAAAAAGCCAATCCAAACGAACTTTTTAGCTAGGACTAAAATAACTAAAAATTCAAAAAGTCAACCCAACTTCTCAAATGAAGCCTTATTATGAGGGAGTTTTGACTAAATTTTTCTTTGGAAGGGATTTATTTATTTATAAAATAAAATTATTATTAAAAAGATTTTGTTACTTTTTATTTTATGTATAGAACATCGTTGCTTGCATAACTGTAGGCGGTGGGATTGAAAGTGAAGGAAATTAATGATTTCATCGGAAAATTTTTATTTCAATGTAAGATCATTTCCAACGGTGAATCAGATTCATTACGAGATTTGAATTTGATGAAAAAAATATCACTTTTATGTCCCCAACGGTTTCACCAA